TGTCTGTTTCGACGCCGCCTGTTTGTCTTTTGCTCGCTCTGGTTTTTTGACTTTCTGCCTGTTTTTGGATTTCTGCTCACTCTGGTTCTTGATGTGCTGCCTGTTTCTTTGGATTTTGTACTTGTCTTGTGTTTTTTTGGATTTACTGCATGTGCATTCCTGGTTTGTCATCCTGGTCTGTGCCTGGGTCCTTCTACCTGAAAGCCTGACATGTACTTAGATACACTGTCTCTAACACTAATAATAGGCCTGCTCATAGGAGGCCATTCATGTCTTGAGGATCCTATTCTTGCTGGCTGTGTAGCTTATTCTCTTTGTCTACATTTCATTATATTACATTATTGACATTTAGCAGATGCTGTTATCCAGAGCAACTTGCATAGATTACAATTTTTACAAGTTATCTATTTATACAGCTGGATATTTACTGAGGCAAATGTGGGTTAAGTACCTTGCCCAAGAGTACAACATCAGTGTACCAGCAGGGAATCGAACCTTTATGGTTATGAGCCGAGTTCCTAACCGCTATCCTACACTGCCGCTGTCTGTCCACCTGTGTGCTGTTGACTGTGTTGTTGCTCTGTACGACACAATTAAAGGTAGTGTTGGTCTGGGTCATAGGTGTTTGCGTGTTCCTCTGTGTTCTGCCTGCAGGAATTTGTTCACAGGCACACATCTCAGTACAACAGTCCACGGGACAGGTACTGGATTGGACTGACGGATGAATCTGAGATAAGAGGGAGCTGGGTCTGGGTGGACGGAACTCGACTGAACGAAGGGTAGGAGCTGTAGAACATTCCAGTGCTAAAAGTGACCACATGCAGCTAGTGTAACAGAGGGTCCTCCAACCATGGGGGATGCAGAGAATGACTTTCACAGCGATGCAACAGGCAATACAAGCAAAGGATGTGTATCACCCATGTGTTTGGCATGGGGAAATGCAAGAACCTGAGTGAGCAAACCTTGAAAGGGAGTACATGCACTGTTAATGTGTGTGCATGTGTGTGTGTGTGTGTGTGTTAGTGCGCCTGTCTGTGGGTGTGTGCATTTGAAACACAGTTTGTGTTTACGCTGAATCTCACTGCCATATTTCAGGTACTGGATTGCAGACCAGCCCCGCGGTTGGAATGAGAAATGTGCTTCAACTCTTAGAGCATCTAATCCCATGAAGAGCTGGGATGATAACATATGCAGTTTGAAGTTTAGGTGGATATGTGAGAGCAAGGCCCTAATACTGTCAGCATAGTCAAACAGAAACGTACGCACACAACTGGTACTGCAGCAACCGCTAGGAAACCTCACAGTTTAGGAGGATGGTAAAGTAAATACATATGAGCAAGTCACAGGTGGTAGTACTCCAAGACATTAGTCATCAGCTGGTGTTCTTGCTGAAGAATGACTATCATTATCATCATGTTGATACCACAAATCCTTTCAAACGGAAGGAGAAGGACATTACAAACAATTGCTGCGTCCTGTGGGGCGTGTACTTTGGGCAGGTGTCAAAATCTTGTACACTGAAGACAGATTTGTCAGTTCTGCAGGTGGATTTCTGTAGTCAGTTGACAGACCGACAGAAAGACAGTAGTTACATACAAGCATGGAGGCTGTACATTTGGATCGTGGACTTGACCAGGGCATCAGCATTAAAGGGGTTGATTAATACATACTGTATGTATGGATGATATATACACAATAGATAAATAAATATGAACCCTATACTGTACACGTCACACTGGAGTGCACCACCAAACCAGAGTGACCTAACAGAACATAAGTAAACATCGATTACAAAAATGGATAGGGTGCAGATAAAAAGTATGACAGAATACATTCTGGGCTTCATCTGCAGCAATATGCATTTGGACCTAATCTAAGCAGAGAAATCTGATATGATTTTCCCCTTTGAACTGTGTTGTATCATATCAGAATAACAAAAAGCAAGATCAAAATCAGATCAAATCTATACGCCTATTTAAAGTCAATAAAGGTACCTATTTATGAGAAGTATGTCTATCTGTTTTGAATAATGACTCCATAATACGTATTTAATTGTACACAAGGGTTAAAAATGTGTTGGGTCATATGTTTGAAAGCTAGATTCACCAGAACTATCTTCACACAGGAATGAAGTATTTAACTTGTTCCAATAAGATTCCAATAAGATAATGAACTGATGGATTTTTCATGTTAACCCACTGCTAAAATTCCACTGTTGTCCAGGAGTTACATAATCACTTTTTTTCTGGGGTCTGGGGATAGCATGTAATTTTTTTTCCCAAACAGCCCTTTACCAACTCCCTCTGGTGAACATTCAGTGCTTGATGTGCATTTCCATTGTAAAAACATGCTACAGCAAATCCAGTTTGAATGATTGTTAGATTCATTGATTGAAGTAATAATTAGCATTTTTTCAGCTTCTGATGTCTGATAGGCTTTTCTCAATGGTCCCAAAGCAAGGACAGAACTACAGCACTTTTGAGATTAAATTACATAAAGGCACTCTTGAATATTAATATCCCTTTTAGGCTCTACCTTACTCATAAATATAATATGTCTGTCCAAAATGATACTAAAATTTTAATTTGCCATAACAAATTGGTAGTCTGTTTTGCTTCCACTAATTGGCAAGGCAGAACGAGTCTCTTTACATCTGAAACCAGTTACCAATAAGGTGATGCTTTCAACAAGCTGAACCAGACTGAATCAGAGCCATCTTTTCCCTGTCAAAGACCCCAGCTGATGGTGCGCTCTCTGACCCTTTGTTACACACTTTCGGGAAATTTCGATGAGAGAATCTGCTAAGTGAAATATGAAAATTACACATCTACTTTCTACCCAAACATACATGTGTGCATGTTCCTCTGTATATAGAAAGTTACTCTGGATGCACACATAGGCAATCCTTGTGTCTGTCTCTGTTGTAAGGAGAGGTAGAAGGGAGGGAGAAGGGAGAGAAAGGTGTAATCCCTTTAATAAGGACTGGGAACTGTTCACCCTCAAGAGCGACGGCACCTCTTCTCTACTGAGAGGAAGAGCTGAGGTGACAGTTTGATTGATTGCATCAACCACCAGGCCAGCCTGGGTATAACATAGAGAGAGAAAGGAAGATTACATTGAAGAACAGGTAGGCTAGGTACAACACAGACCAACAGAGAAGCAGAAACACCAGTGTGCGTGTATGTATATTTGTGTGTAGGTATATAAATGCACCATTTGTAAGTAGTATGACTTTGTTCTGTTCAATGGTATTAAGATTAAAGCGTATCATTTTCAAAAATGTTCAAGAAGAAAGAAATACCCAATAATAAGGGGCATGAGTAAATATGGAGGGCACTGTATATGCATATAATTTAGAGGAATACAAAAACAAATTCTCACAGATCAAAGCAGGCAGCAGAGAGGAGAGCCTCTGTGTACTTGTAGTTGAACCTCCATTGTGCACCAGTAGAGAGCAGCCTAAACATAGCTGTGTGACCATCAAGACTCTTCATTGAGTCACTCACAATGAAGGTAGTATAACAGTTTTGAATGTCCACTCATGGGGACAGGGCTATAGATTGACTCGTGTTGGTGTGCTTTTATGTACAGTTAAAAAAATCTCAAACAAAATGTAAAAATAAAGGACCACACATCTCACATTAAAAATTTAAAAACCTAGCAAAGTGAAAAAAAAAAGCCAAGCAAATGTGAAACTGTGAAATTTGGGTTATGCTCCTTTCCTCTATACCATTCTACTCCCAATGATTCATATCTAAATTAAGTTGCGGTCATTCTTTTTCATTTTGATGTTGTAACTTGCAATGGCATCACACTGAATAAATAAATTGTATGAATAAATAATACATTAAAAGTATCTATCAAAGGAAAAATAGCATTGCTTCAGGGCTCTGTTCTTTCATTTTTTAATTCCTGAGAAAAGAAATGAATTCATTCTTAAGCATTCTTACAGCTACAAAAGAATTCAATGTACTTCAGTTTCAAACATTCAATTTATGGTTCCTATGAAAAAAGGAAACAAAGCTGGTTAATCTCAATAATTGAAAGAATGTCTATCACATTTACTCCAAGAAAATTGCATGTCTTTAAGCTAATTGATGACTGAAATTGTTTTACTTACTGCACAATGGACATCCAGACAATAGAACAGGCCTTATGGGCTTTTATGAGGCAAAATTAAGTGAGTTTATCTTACGCAGACTCATTTCTGTAATATGACATTTGCTTTTGAATATATCCCCTGAGAAATGGGTCCCTGCTCATAGCAAATACTGGATAGAGTCATGCTCAGTTTACACTTATTCTAATGCTAATATATTCCTGTGTCCCTATGAATGTGTACTTTTAAATGACCACGTTATGACTGCAAATTCATAATGCAATTCATAGTGAATATTACATATATACGTGTGTTGCACAATAATTTTCTATCAACCACAGAAATTGATAACGTACAAACATTTGTTTTCTGTTCCACAATCTGTCTAATGGCTTTGCATACTAAATTGCACCATCTACTGAATGATGGGTACATGTAAATATACTAAAACATACCAAAAAGGGATATGCACTAATACTGTGACCTCAAACAGAGCATGAGTGCCATTTTCCCAAACAGCGTGTGTCTCAGTTTGTCTAGGAATTTCTCACCACAGTCCTACAGGGGAAGGACTTGTTACTGGGAGGGATTCTGGGTGGAGGCATAAGGCAACAGGGGCAACCTGGCAGTGGCTGAAACTTACACGCATATACACATGCTGACCATGCAATAAGGTAACATATTTATAAACAGTATTTTTACACAATAATGGGTCAACCTGCCTCTAGGTGTTGGCACTTGTAACCAGCTAAGACATGCATGGTGTGTACAATACATTATTGTCATTTAGCTAATGCTGTTATCCAGAAGAACTTATGTGCAGTTGGTTACAAATTTGTACAGCTGGATATATACTGAGGTGATTGTGGGTTAAGTACCATGCACAAGCATACAATAGCAATCCCAGTGGGGAATTGAACCAGCAACCTTTTGGTTATAAGCCAGGCTCCTTACCACTACACCACACTGCTGCCCCGTATGTAAACCCAATTCATCAATGAGGACAACGTCCACATTTTAAGTTGGGAAACTAAATTATTATTGTATTACACAAGGTATTAGACACTCTCACCGTTACTAGAATACCGATAGTAAAAATTTTGAATACCTACACTACATTTGACCTTTTCTTTACATAAGATATGTGCTCCTGTACACACATTTACAGTTGCTAAGTATAGAAATGAGTAAGCATGTCAGATATGCACTGCAATTCATCGAACTCCATGGAGCGGTAACCTGACACCATACTGTGGCAGAGTGGCGGCACATAAACAAAGAGCTTTGGCAAAGTATGTGTGAATGACGCAAGAAACATTATTGCTCTCCAGTCACAGATATGCTAGATACACAGCTACCTCACTAAACAGTGTGATGTTAAAATTTTATTAGAAGATGGAACTTTGTAACGTTCCAAATTCCATCTGAAAATGATATAAACTACAGATAATGTAGATAAGTATGCACATCAGGTCAAAATGTAGGCACACAGGGAGTAAAAAAGGCAATGAAATAACTGATGGGACAAACTAGAAGAAAGCCTTGTACAGGAAACTACAGACACGTTAGTTTTGTCTCTAAACAGTTTATTAAAATGTTGTTTCTCCTACAGACTTAACCTCTAACACCAATTGGCCAGGACATGATTGACATGTGATGAGGAGCCCTCCCCAATGGCATACCAGCCAATGAGAAATCATGACATGCAGTACTAAAGGGAAGGTATAGCAACAATACAACCAATTACACAAAGAGCCACCTATATATTAAAAGGACATTTAATTTGATTGACTGCTTGAAATCGACACTGCACACATTAGTATGTGCGTATGTACCAGTTCAGGGCATTTTATTAAGTGCAGTGCTTTTTTTGCAGTGATTCAGAGGTTACCATACACTGCGTTTTCAGTGCACGTCTACTGAAGTGCAGTACAGTGTGTCAATCTGTCCCTTGAAATACCAAAAAAAGAAACAGAATGACATCACAAACACTGGAAAAAGGAGTGGGGTCTAAGTGCTGTGTTGGTCTGCGACTGGTCAGCTGACATAACTGACCCCACAGCAGTGCGTGTCTTCCCTTTTATGCACGCGCATTGATGATCTCAACGAATTCTGGTTTCAGGGACGCTCCACCCACCAGGAAACCATCCACATCCTTCTGGGAGCCCAGCTCCTTGCAGGTAGCACCAGTCACTGAACCTGCAGAGGACAAAATTATGCACACACACACACACACACACACACACACACACACACACACACACACACACACACACACACACACACACACACACACACACTTTAAAGATCCATAACGCACTGACGCCTTAAGTTGTTCAGACAGAAGCCTCTGGGGTGCAACATGTAGGTGATGTACTGAAAACATTCCTCTTGATTTGCCCACATCAAGATGAGCATTTTCAGTTTGTATTGTTAAATCAATGTAAATACAATTGTTGGTATGCTGATACCCTCCTATAATAACGATTTGGTCGACGCTAAACACTGTCAAGTCAATAAAGCCAATTAATGCATTTTCAGGAGGGAGTTAATGCACTTATGGTGTGCACATATAGAGCACCTTTACACTGTGTGAAGCCAAACAGAGGCCGACGGCACGCTTCACCCCTTACGAACCTCCGTAGATGATTCTGACAGAGTTGGCCACGTCCTCTGAGACGTTGGCCTTAACCCACTGCCTGAGTTTGTCATGGACCTCCTGGGCCTGAAGACAAAATAAAAATCTTTTAGCAGCATCCCTCACACCCACCACCTGTAGCCCTCACTAGCTTACATCCCGGTACCTTAGGTGTACAGAATGACAGATACAGTACATAATTCAAAGTGCAAGGGTATATTGTGTTGAAGTCATCTGAAAGGTACAAAGGTGTGCAAAAGTAGCTAATGGGTGTGGTCAAACACGGTCTTTCCCAGATGCCTACCTGTTGTGGTGAGGCAGTTTTGCCAGTACCAATGGCCCAGACAGGTTCATAGGCAAGGACCACTTTGCTCCAGTCCTTTACGTTGTCTGTAACATATTACTCGGAGTTGGTTAGGCAGCATGGGATGTAACATGCACACAACATCCAAAACTACATCCTTAACCATGTCTGTGAAGCAGAAGACAAAATCAAGTAGCCGATTCCATTATTGGTCAGCGTGTGTGCCAAGTACCTGCGATGACCTTGGTCTGTGCAAAGACCACCTTCTCGGTGATGCCTGCCTCCCTTTCATCGAGCTTCTCCCCAATGCAGGCAATCACACCCAGACCACTCTCCAAAGCGTGAGCCACCTTCTGTCCAATGAGCTGTCAGGACAAAAGGCACGTGTCCAATGAGAGGGCAAAGATGAGGGAGGGGAAAGGGCAGGTGAAAAGCATTATCTATGCACTGCATAAACAGCGGAGCTAGATGTTTCAACACAAAACTGGAAAAAAAGGTGACAGGTAATGGATAGAGACCTCGGGAACCACAGAAAGCATACCTCATCACTTTCTCCAAACACGTGGCGCCTCTCGGAGTGCCCCAGGATAACCCAATGCACTCCACAGTCCTTGATCATCGCAGGGCTGAGACACAAGGCAAAAGGCAAAGAGAAAGAAAGTGAATGAGCATGCATGGTATGTGCAAACAGTGCAGTGCATGTCTCGGCACCTCAACAAAGGGTGAAGCAGCAGCCTGACGGGCGGCTCTCAGTACCTGATCTCTCCGGTGAAGGCGCCCTTGGCAACTTTGTAGCAGTTCTGTGCGGCAACTCCAATCTTGGCATCCAGCTTTGACCTGGCGAAGTCAAGGTAGATTGCAGGCGCACCACAAACCACCTCTGTGGGAAAAAAAAGGGGAGGGACACAATATAAACTGTCAGATTAGCCAGGGCACATCAGTTCTGTCAAACTACAGCACATCCCTGTGTCAGCTTGAAGGTGAAATACTGAAACCTTTGAGCATTTCTGCATGGTTCAGAACTGCAACTACACTTCTGTTTCACCATTGCAAAGGACATTTTATTTGATTCTCTTGTGTGCCATGACTGTTACAGTAAGAGCAATCAATGATTCATTATCACAGTACAGTCCAGCACAGGGCCAGACAGTGACATTCTCAATGTAACACTATCTTGGGTCAAGTGAGTCTATATTAATCCGTCTGAAGTCACCATGCCCTGTGTAAAGGTCACTCAACTCCAAGCTTCTTCGCCCCCTCGAACTCTCACAGAAAGGCCAGAGTGCAAAACTGAGAAGGTTACCCACGAGATCGTTACATTCTACCAGGGTCACTGGGAGACCAGTGGCTAAAGGTCAACATAAGGAGAACGCACTCAACGAACTTACAAAATTAAGAACTGATTTCAAATTTCGTCTGTACAAGCACCCATTACAGCGCGAGTAAAAGGTCCTGGTGAAACGCCTTTGTCTTTAAATAACTACACAGACTGAGTTTCTCCAGAATCTACGTGTCCATCTGTGCCTCCAAGCTTGACTGTCAGTGAAGGAAGATCGATCTAGTTTTGAACACAACAGCAGTGCAACAGTTCAAGGCCGCTTTGCTTACACAGAAGGACTGAAATGAACCCTTGAAACACCAAGACTTACTCTGACATAATCACCAAAAAACCTACCTAACTATAGATTACATCGTTCAAAATCGGATCATACTGTGTGACGGTAAAGGCTCAGATAGGACCACCAGTGCACAAAGAAATTCTCTAGCTGGGTTAGTATTATAAATAGAGGCAACTGAACCAGCTAGACCAACACAATTTGATAGCTGGATTTAATTCAGGGAACGATACCAAGACAAGCGTTACAATTGTGGGGATATCCCCGAAAGGGCCAACGAGTACACTGTAAAATGGATACGCAAGAATGGTCCAGCGGCCGGTGCACGAAATTGCAGTGTGCCATCGCAGCACAGAAATGGGAAATCTCGCACAACTAGCCAGCGAGTTGGCTTGCAGGGCTACGTGCTCGAAGACACACACCACGCCTCCATTCAAACAGAAACCTCCGCGTTGTGATTGACTGGCTTTTTCCTCCCCTGCCACAAAGCCATCTTTACGATGTCAGGTTCTTCTTTCGCTAGCCATGGAACGTTACCTGTGCTTTTCATTCTCCAACGTAAGCATCAGTCTTAACAATTATAATATTGCAGTCTACGTAACAAGACATTTGGACTCACTACCGTTAGGCATCTTTTCTCAGTTTCGAAGGCACAGCCAGACAATTAAGTCAACACATGGCCGGTTATTTAACCCTATAGCTTTTCAAACCTTCATTGACAAACTAATCAATCACAGAATACCACATCTTATGGCTGCAAAATACTGATTATGAATCATAGGATTTTTATATGAATGTATCTCCGACCCAGCTACCTTTCCTACTCTGGTGAATAAAATGGACCACCGAGCTACTATGCTAAAAAGCTAGGTAAGTTAGCTACTTTGGCAAATTGAGCTTTCCTAATTAACCTTACATAGGACGAACTGAGTTAATGTTAGTTAACTAGCTACTGTATCAAACGTGTAGCAACATAGCTACTGCACAGAGCCTCGTTTGCGAGAAGTTATTTAACCTACCAGTGTCGGGGTTGAGTTTGGCGGTGTTCAGGGTATGAATGAGCTCGCCTAAGCTTTTCTTATCGCCGTTCATCTTCCAGTTTCCACCTACGAAAAATTTTCTTGGAGACATGATTGAAGCGTAACTAGTGGGGTTGCCCTGCTATTTTGCTGCTATTGTCAGCGACCTAGTCGGAGAGAGGAGCACCGCCTAGATGTTAGAATCGATCTTATAGCGTCGGCTACCATGTAGCCCCGCCCATGCAGTGTTTTATTGGTTTACAGTAGACACTCCCGTAAAATCATTTCCTTATAAAGAAAGGGGGCGTGACAACTTGACGAGCGAAAACCCAAAGTTCACTGATTGGTGGCAGTAAATTTCCTTTGACCCTGAACGACGGCCATCTTCTACACC